GAGATAATGCGGGAAAGTCCCTTCAGATCGTGGCGGCGGCTCTGACTGGCGCTCTACTTTCAACTAATTGCGGCGTGTGTCTGACACTGCCGTGGCATCTGTAAAGCCGGCGTTTGCGGCGGAGTTCAAAGAAACACCTCGCGGCACATTCTCACTTCCTTTTTTCTTGCAACATTCCCAGTACAGTTTCAACTGTAAAGTTGCCGGTTTTTTTTAATACTACTTTCGCACACATGTATAACTTTTTGTAAAGCTACAGCTCGATTCACGGCAAAGTGTGACTTTTAACTCATAACGTCCGTCCGTCCATCCATTTTCTGATTCGCTTATCCTCACAAGGGTTGCGGGGGGGTGCCAGAGCCTATCCCAGCTGTCTTCGAGCAGTTTTCGGGGGACACCCTAAACTGGTTGCCAGCCAATCGCAGGGCACACAAAGACGAACAATCATCCGCGTTCACATTCACACCTCGGGACAATTTCGATTGTTCCATTAACCTGCCACGCATGTTTTTGGAATGTGGGAGGAAACGGGAGCACCCAGAGATAACCCACGCAGGCACGGGGAGAACATGCAAACTCCACACAAGAAGGCCGGAGCCGGAATCGAACCCTGCAGTGTGAGGCCGATGCACTAACCAGTCAACCACCGGGCTGCCCTTGTCAACAAATATTGTAAAAAAAAAATTAAAGAAATCTAGCAAACAGCGGTATTAAAATATATCCAAATTCAATGACATTCCATCCAGCTGAACGATATGGAAATGATGAATTGTGTTTTAATCACTTCTTAAGAGCCAAGGAAGCTCAAAAATGAACACTTCTCATCACTTTTTCTTTTTTTTTTGGGGCGGGGGCGGGGGGTTAGGCACTCCGGATGCACTTGTTAAGTGGAATGTCCTAAAAACTGTTGATGGAAAAAAAAAATTTGGTGTGCCATTCCATATGACATTTTACATAAATCAAGAGACAATATTTTCATTTATCTTCCTCTGTTAGCTAGGCCATTTTTTTTTCATGCATCTTGATTACACTATCACGGAGTGAACAAGTGAGGACTAATCACGCTGCTCTCTTCTATGTAATTTGGAGGGTTTTTTTTTTTGTTTTTTTTTTTAAAGATTTCTTTACGGAGCACTTGACCAAATAACATGACGATACTCTAAATGTGAGTCAAACAAGATCATGCATCAACAAGAATGGAACAAAAGCCAAAACAATAGAATCAATCTGATCAGACCAAGACAGTCAATTATCTCATTTAAATAAAAAAAAAAAAAAAAGACTTAATTCATGTAAATTCCCAACTTTTTTTCTTGTAATATGTATCCTTGTCCATTTTTGCAACCAAACGTGAATTTTGAGACTAAAGCTACACCTTTATTCTTTGTTAAATTTTGACTTTTTCCTTAAACGATGTTATTCATCTCATAAAATTGAGACAGGCTCCTCATGTCAGGGATACTTTATTTTCCCTTGTAACTCAAAAACCTTTTTTTCCCCGAAAGCGACGTCTTCATTTTTCGCCAAAGTGTGCCGTTCTTGTCGGTAAATTGCGACACACCGACGGCTTTCTCACTCAAACCAGGGTGACAAAATAAAAAATAAAAATAAAAAAAACGAACGCAGATTGCGCCTAATGTCATTACTCCTGCGTCAGCAACATTTACCCCCCCCCCGCTTTTTTTTTTTTTTTTTTTGGATGCAAATGAATTCACGTGTACTAATATGGGATTACCCTGGAATGCGTCTGTAGCCGAGCGTGGGTTGCCCCCTCCATAGCCGTAGCCCCCCGCGCTGTCGTGAAAACACAATACGAGCCCCTGCCGACTTATCAAAAGAGCTGATATGGCACTTTCGCCCCCGGTGCCAGTTTTTATGCCTTGTTCTTGTTGAATACGGTGTCATAAAAAAACAGGCATAAAACCACAATGGAGGGCTGGGGGAGCAATGTAAACAATGTATGCGGCTAAAATATGCACGGCCGTTGGGAAGGGAATGCAAAATAGGGCAAAGCTTGTGCGGGCGTACCTAACGAAGTGAATGCTGTCCTTACCTTGGCACGAGCTCGGCACGTCACTTGCCCATCGCCACCTTCCGCATCATAAAGCCATCATCCGTACTAAAAAGCACACAAAAAACTTATGCATTAGGTATATTTTATTGCATGTTGAACTCATATTATTTCAATTAGATTTACTCTATATTTATTTCATCTCAAGGCTCAAACTAACTTTTTCTTTGAGGAGCAGTTTTGCTCATCAATGACCTCATTGGCGTTGCAATATCCGAATTTTGAAGAGCAATTTTATTCCTGTTAATCCCCAGGAGCTGAAGAAAAGGTTTTATTAAACAATATAAATAACATAACACAACAGGGGAGTTGAATGCAGGGCTGCAGGTAAGAAATATTTTAGTATTTGGGGATTGAATAATCCCATATTCAGATAAAGAATACTTTTGTTTGCTGAAAGGGCTATTATGAATACAAAAGAGAAAATAAGACATTTGCCTTAATAACCAACCACCAAAAGAAACTCACTCCAGAACAATTTGTCTGAATTTCCATATATTTTTTTTTTAATCCGTCAAGAATATTACCGTGGGTGAGTTATTATTATGCAATTGGAGAAATGTCTGTGTGCATACTTTTCACAATGGTTAATCACTTACGGTTTTATTATTTGTTATGATTTATTTTTTTCATGATAAATATCATCAAGTGAAGAGTGACATGAATGACCATTTTCATCACCAAAATAAGAGAACAAAAGCGTTTGAAAATGTAAGCTATATTTGATCTTAATCAATGTTTTATCAATTACAGTGAACATTGAGATATTTTTCACTTATTCACTTATACTAATCCTCAAGAAGGGTTTTAAAGACTTTCATTTTCTCAAATTCACACTTTTTAAAAGAGATGACAAACAATAATTGTCAAAATATTTCGTGGAAAATATTAGAAAGCTCACTTGGAATGAGCCGATCAAAGTGTGATCGCTTCCGGCTCGTGTATGACAACGGCGGCAGCTCAGACCTGCCGGTACTCATGTGGATTGCATACACATTGACAAAATGTACATCACGGTCAGATGCTTCACTTGCGCAGAGACATTCTCACTCACCATCCTCACACTTTTCCCCAATCGGTGATAAGGGAATTGGCGAGGTGACAAGTGCACAGCATGACACTAAAAAAAAACGCCTTATGTGCAATTGGCGCATTGTCAAACACATCGTATTGATCTCACAACTATTTTTTGCTCGTTTTCATCTGGACTGAGCAATCAGACCATGTTTTTTAAAATAATCGTAACAAATTGGACGTCACGAGTTAGCGTATACTCTACTTGTCACCATGGTAATAAACAAGCCACAAATTCGACGGTAGCCATAATTGAGACCTGCGCAAGGATATTGTGACGTTCGTAAGGTATATTTAAAATTAATATCACTGGAAAGAGGCCATAAAGGACCAAAGACAAGGTAAAATGAACATCAATTAATTATGCTGACATTATATTATGAGGCGCCGCTTGTCAGCGTTACCAGCTAGCAGCTAGCCATGAAGCAAGTGCCCCACATAGCCTAGCAAGAGCCGTCAGGCTACATTTCACAGGTAGTTTAAGAGGCAAAAGTTTTCTCACAACTATTTTTGTTCATTTTCATCCTGACTGAGCAATTTGACCATGTTTTTTTTTTTTTTAATAATCGGAACAAATCGGACTTCATGAGTCAGTGCAGTGGTTGTTAACCTTATTAGAGGTACCGAACCCAACACATTCACCGAACCGTTCTTGAGTGAAAAATTAAAATATGATTTTTTTTCAAATTCAATACATTAAAAAAAAAACACATTCACTAAAAACAGAAAAAAAGTAAATGAAATTGCATGGCCTAAGTATAGTTTTTTATTTAAAAATTGTATGACGCACTATCACGACAGTCACACGGTGACTACTGAACGAACTAAATTTCCCACAGCACTGATTGGACAAGCAACGTAATGTGATCATCTGCAGCCAGTGATGGCCAAGCGGGCGTGTCATAACTAACTGAGATGTTGAGCCGGGTGTGTCTTAACCTCCATGGTTGAGGTTCCGTCGAACCCCTGAGACCGATTCACCGAACCCTTAGGGTTCGATCGAACCCAGGTTAAGAACCACTGTGTTAGCGTCGACTCAACTTGTCACCATGGTAATACTGAAAACAAGGCACAAATTCGACTGTAGCCATAATTGAGACCAAGACCTGCGCAACGATAACGTGAGTATATTCAATTCAAGACTTCATATTTCCACATTAATTACGCTGACATTGTATTATAAGGCGCCTGTTGCCAGTTCATATGCATATATTGGAAATAGATTTTCGAATAAATAACTGTTTGTTTTACAGTTATTCATTGCAGTTTGGAGTTTGTAGAATGTTTTGGCAAAGCCTGATGTGGTGGGTCAGAGGTTAAACAAATCCCAAAGTCTTCATGATACATCTTGGCAAGGAAATGGTGTGACTGTTGCTATTCCAAATAAAGTCACGACAAAGGAGGTTTCCTCTACTTTTTTGGGGGGGAGGCGGTTCTCCTCTTTCTCAGCAATTATGAAGTGGCGCCTTCATAGATCTGTCACCGTTCCCAAAGCAATGACAGAGCCGCCATACGCGCCGCGGTGTAAATCCAGGTCACATCGGCTTTTTAATAGCAGATTTATTGAGGCTCAACGGGGGTTCAGCGATGGGACTGAGCGACAAAGAGCCTGTTTTAAAGTGCATTAGCGCCATGCAGTAAATATCCCGTACGGCATATTAGCATTTTAATGGCGGCCATCCACACTCACCTTTCAGAGGCCGTGTTGTTTTCCTTCACTTTGTTTGCATCAGTGTCAGAGCTGTCCCGCCATAGTCATGTTTGGTTTGTATTACTCGCTGGATGTCTGAACAAGAGCTCATGTGGCCTCTGTAAAGCTGACATTTTGGTGTAAAAAAAGAAAAAGGGCAATCTCTTCAAGCAGGCATGTAATTTCTCACCAAAGGCTTTTTGGGTCATGTTTGGTTTCATTAAAATATGTCGAAATTAAGAGCTGAGAGCTGAAGTTTACCGCAACGATTTGATTTTCATTCAAAAGTGCAAACGTCGGGTGCGTTTCTCCGCAAATGGCTTTGTGAGTCATATTTGCTTATCGACATGTATGTATTAATATATGTCAAGAACAGATGAGGCATCTGTAAAGCCGAACTTCTTGGTGGCATTTTGGAAAAGAAAAAAAAAATCCGCAAGTGGGCAAAAAAGTTCCCGACAAAGGGCTTTTTGAATCCTATTTGTTTTATTGGATTTACATTTGTAAAAAAGCTGGGTTGAAAGGCTGTTCTTTTTTTTTTTTTTTTTTAAGCCTTTCACGGACAGCAGTCACTACAGTGGACAGCTTCTCATGTTGTCAGGTTACAGGGTGCTTGAAAGGGTGAAAGAGCAGCTTTTTTAATGAATGCATTTCTCATATTAAATCAAGATCCAACATAAACACAGATAATAATTTGAACTCAAGTGTGAAGAATCCTTCCAACAAGTCTGTCTTCAGTGACCCGAATAAACAAAAGGGCATCACGCACAAGAAACAAAGTATGTGTTTTGTTTTTTTTTTCAAGAAAGAAAAAAAATAACAGTGTGGGTGTGTATTTATTCTCCGCAGTGTAGCAGAAAATTTACAAAAGGACCATTCACCCACTCAAATAGTCTAAAAAGCCTTTTCCGCATCAAGGACAAACTATCGAGATGGAAAAAAAAAAAAAGCCGAACTGTTCAGAGAAAGAGTCATCTCGCCTTGAGGCGAAAGGGGCAAATACTCCTTTTTTGAGGAGGAGGGTCCCATCACAAACCTCCCGTCAGGAAACTCAAGAAATGTGAAAACATATGAGAACATATGAGAACGCGCCATGTGGCCGATTCCAGTGGAGAGCCTGCGGTGCGTCTCTCTATAAAAGCATTTACTGAGCCATAAGCACTGCGGGCTCGCCGAAAGCTCATCAAAGTGTGGCTTATTTTATCAGCCGAGTGGAAAATGTGCTGAGAGTGGGGCGGCGGTGGCGGAAGCCGAACGCAGAGAGAAGTGGGGGGGGCTGCTCTGACTGGCGCTCTCCTTTTAACTAATTGCGGCGTGTGTCTGACACTGCCGTGGCATCTGTAAAGCCGGCGTTTGCGGCGGAGTTCAAAGAAACACCTCGCGGCACATTCTCACTTCCTTTTTTCTTGCAACATTCCCAGTACAGTTTCAACTGTAAAGTTGCCGGTTTTTTTTAATACTACTTTCGCACACATGTATAACTTTTTGTAAAGCTACAGCTCGATTCACGCGGCACATTCTCACTTCCTTTTTTCTTGCAACATTTCCAGTACAGTTTCAACTGTAAAGTTGCCGTTTTTTTTTCATACTACTTTCGCACACATGTATAACTTTGTTTTTGTAAAGCTCCAGCTCGATTCATGGCAAAGTGTGACTTTTAACTCATAACGTCCGTCCGTCCATCCATTTTCTGATTCGCTTATCCTCACAAGGGTTGCGGGGGGGTGCCAGAGCCTATCCCAGCTGTCTTCGAGCAGTTTTCGGGGGACACCGCCAATCGCAGGGCACTCAAAGACGAACAACCATCCGCGTTCACATTCACACCTGGGGACAATTTCGATTGTTCCATTAACCGGCCACGCATGTTTTTGGAATGTGGGAGGAAACCGGAGTACCCAGAGAAAACCCACGCAGACAGGGGGGAGAACATGCAAACTCCACACAAGAAGGCTGGAGCCGGAATCGAACCCTGGACCTCTGCAGCGGTATTAAAATATATCCAAATTCAATGACATTCCATCCAGCTGAATGATATGGAAATGATGAATTGTGTTTGAATAACTTTTTAAGAGCTAAGGAGGCTCTAAAATGAACACTTTTCATCATTTTTTCTTTTTTTTTTGGGGGGGGGGGTGGTGTAGGCACTGTCAAGTGTCGGATGCACTTGTTAAGTGGAATGTCCTAAAAACTGTTGCTGAAAAAAAAAAAATCGGTCTGCCATACCATATGACATTTTACATAAAACATCAAGAGACAATATTTTCATTTATCTTCTACTGTTAGC